TTGACAGAGAGAGACACAGTGAGAGAGGGAACACAAGCAGGGGGAGTGGGAGAGGGAGAAGCAGGCTTCCCGCCGAGCAGGGAGCCCGATGCGGGGTTTGATCCCAGGACCCTGGGATCATGACCTGAGCCGAAGGCAGACGCTTAATGACTGAGTCACCCAGGTGCCCCGTGGAAGGTTTCTTCTCTCTCATTGTTTTTACAAAAGAGAATGACAGGGTTTTTTTCCTATATACTTACATATTTTATTTCTCATGTAAAGATAATCAATACAAAAATACTTTTCTTCCTAAAAGTAACTCATACACTAACATATAATTTTTTAATTTTCTTTTTTTTAAATTGCTTTGAAATAATTGCTGAATATATTCATTCACTACTAGTGGCACCCTTTTTGGACAGCAGAATCATAGAAATATTTATATCTTTTGAGTAGCAGTTATTTCTACTCCAGAAAATTACTTCTCACACACACTTCCAACTCTAAACCAAACACCTACTGTATCTGTCTGGTCAACGAGAATAGACATGTTCAAAAACCAAACTTACCCTCCTTTCCAGACCTGTTCTTCTCACTTTGTTTTCATTTTTATTAGTAGCATTACCATTTTTCCAGTTATGGGGACTTAAAACTTTAGAGTCATCTTTGTCTACTTCTCTTTACCCTCCAAGTTCAGGCAGTGACCATCTTACCAGTTCTGTTTAATCTAGGCCTTCATTACCTCTTCCCTGGATAATTGCAATAGCCTTCTGAATAAGACATCTTGCTTCTTATTTTATCCATTTTTACTCCAGGCTGCTTACCCTTCCAGAATTATCTTTTTGAAGTATAGTTACCATCTCTTCCATACTCAAAACCTTGAGTGGTTCCCTATTTCCCACAGAATAAATTTTGTGCTCTGCAGCAAAATTTTTAAGACCCTTAATAATCTTCCTCAGCTGAACTTATTGCATTATCTCTTACTTCTCTTTTCATTCCCCCATGCTCTGGCATTCTTAGTACTAGAAGTTTTCTTAGTTGGCATGTACAGTTGTCCTAGATGTCTGTTTCTGATCCTAATGTGTTCACATCATGTCTGCTTTTTGAATACTGGCTTAAAATCCATTTCTTTAGAAAGTTTTCCCCACTTAACTGGCCTGAAGTATTATAAATTATTTAAAAGTAAAGATATTGTCATCTTTATATTCCTGTTAGGCTTTGCATGTAATGGCGTCCGATGCCACATGTTAAATGAATGGAGTGGTGATGAGCCAACCCAGACTAACAGTGTAGCCTTGGATACAGTCAATCAAACATTGCATCCTCAAATAATCAGATTAAAATGAATTTTGAGTACAGTGCTGAAGAGAATAAAACAACTTCCAAAAGAAATATTGGCAATAGGTGGCATATGTGAATGGATTCATTTTGCAAGAAACTTCAGATGGTTTTAGGATTAGCTTTCAGAACCACTTCTTCCCATTCCACTTTTCTGCTGATTGTTCCTTTGAACCTACCCATTTTATAGCATACTAATGTAGAGCCCCAATTAATGACTTGAGAAAGTGATTAGTGATGGATGCTTAGAGTTTTAGCAAACTAGCTTTTATGAGTTAGTATTTTCTTTCACTATTTGGATGAATGAGACAGAAGTAACAAAAAGGTTATATAAGAGTAGCTTACGTGTTAAGAGTCTTTTAAGCTTATTTTTTCTTTATATTTTACAATTGAGACTCAATGAGCAATATTTCTTTCAGTATTTTGTTTACAAGAAAATATAGTGTAAAAAGTAAAAGTAACATTAAAAATGATCAGCTTCTCTGATAAATGAAGTTAAACTACTTAAAGATAACATGTTCTTTATGTATTTCCTCAGATTTGTCTAATTATTCAGTTATCTCTTGACAGACTATGTATACACTTTATGTTTATGGACGGATGTTGAACAAATTGTTCCATTTACTGAGATTTGCTTTCCTTTGTCACTTAACATATTTTGAGTTTACTTGAGGTTTCTATTCGTTGACCCCAAATTAATTATATTTTGCTTTCCATTTTTCTTTGCCTTGTAACATTCGTCTAACATATATTTATTGAATACCTACTATCTGCCCTACTAAGAGGCTCTGGAAAAGAATGATAATCAAAACCAGACATGGGTCCTATCTCCATAGAGTTTATAGTCTAGGAGTAAGAGAATAATTAAATAATCACAAACTGAGGTGAAAGTTAACCTAGAAAGTTTCAGATTGCTGTGAGATTGACTTGGTCTGTTTTCAGGAGTCAGAGGCTTTCCTTCATGGTTACCCTTTTGTTGCTCAATTATCATGCTGTGCTTATTTTCTTGTATATCTTTCCCAATCTTAACTCTGACATGTATAAACTCCTTAGGTGAAGGAAGGTTTCTTTTCTCTCTACTTCCTAGTCCAGATGAGGTATTCTAATTTCAAAATTTATTGAATTAATAAATAAGTGTGAATAAATAAATTATAAAATCAATGTATGAAGTAAAATTTCTGTTTTAAAGGACCATGTTACAATATCCTAAAATACTATATAAAAACAATATTAAAATGTGAGGTGTTTTTTGTTTGTTTGTTTCTTTAGCATTTATAGGGTCATCATCAAATTTACAGCAAATTCCCAGTTTTGACTTCACATCCACAAATACCTTACCAGAAGACTCAGTGGTTGTTGTTGGAAAAGGTATTTCCAAGTTATTTAGCTTGTTAATTGTATGTGTTCTCCACATGTAAGCAAAGGATATCATTAAAGAACAGAGAAGAGTGTGATTCAAGTGTTGATTAGAACTTTTTTTATTAGAACTTTCTTTTTAAAAAATTATTAAATTGAAAGAATTAGAAGTGAGTACTTAATTTTACATTTCTGTCTTCTAACAAAACTAAGTAAATTCATGTCAGTAATTTTCAGAGAGATGTATTATGTAACAGCTGCAGCTTAGATACTTCTAAGACACTTTTAGGATAGCTAAGATAGTTTTATCATAGTTCAAATAATAGTCCTTATTTATAATTTATCAGCTTAGTATTTAATATAATTTCATTATTTTCCATACAGAGTCTAGACAAATCAGAATTAACACCTGTTATATATATTTTGGGGGACTAGAGGACCTTTGAACAATATATTTGCAAATATTCTTTAAAGCTCTTTTTTCTTTTCAACTTTATTGAGGTGTAATTGACAAATAAAATTGTAAGGTATTAAAGTGATTATTTGATATCCATATACATTGTGAAAGGCTTCTCCCATCAAGTTAATTAACCCATCTCAATTAGTTTCTTTTTTAATTGAAAAAGTAGAATGTGATGATAGACATTGAAGGTGCACATCTTCTTTTTGGTAAATATAGTGAAATAGGATGAAATGCTTGGAAAGCTTTCCTAATTGTTTGCTTGGTAGAGTCCAATTAAGTTAATCTGAGGCCCTTCTCAGATTGGCTCCAGCCTACCCTTGCAAACTTAGTTTCTGTTATTCCCGTTTGCCTTGTGCCCAACCAAACTGAGTTATTCATTTCACATACACACTTTATACTTGTTCAGCTCTGCTTCTAAGCATTACCATCTTATAGGATGCCCTCCCCTCCTTCTTCACTTATCTGTCCAAATTCATTGTGTCTTCCAATCTCAGCTCAAATCCTTGCATCTTGAAATCATCTTAAACACCCAGCTCATACCAACCTTTCCTTCATTTAAACTCATTATTACAATATGCAGTTCTCATTTAATATTGTGAAACGTCTGGTGATACCTCCTATATGATTGTCCTGTTAGGGTATTTATTTTTATATTTATTATTATTTAACATGTTCTTCTTATGAACTATATTGTTTATTTCTTAAAGTCAAGAGCTTGTCTTTAACTTTATTAGAGTGACATCACGTAAATACTTAACTGCAATTTGATGGTGGGTTAATTTCAGGTGTATTTGGAAGTCCAAATTCAGCACCAGCAGCCTGCAGCCAGTCAGTGATATCTTCTGTGGAAAATGGAGATACATTTTCAATTAAACAAAGCATTGAACCACCATCAGGAATTTATGGAAGAGCGGTCCAGCAAAATATTCCATCATATGTTGATGTTGAGAATGAAAAGGATGTAAGATTATTTGCTGATTATTAGGATAAACTCAAGCCTATATCACATCATTGTGTTGTGTTCATCGGATTTGGGATGGTGAAGGTGTTTTGATTAAAATTTTTAAAATCTCAGGATAATTGAAATTTCTGCTCCTTAATCATTTAAATAATGGGTTATTCTTCTTTCCAGCAAATATATTCTCATTCTGGTATAAAGTATCTAGTGTACTTTATACTATACATGTACTTTATATATATATATATGTGTGTGTGTGTGTGTGTTTACATATTCAGCAATTTTCTAGGACACTCAAGGAGTAAGAGACTGGTATCCTTAGGCACAAATTTAGTTATGATATTAGCACCATGTAATTCTAGTCAATTTTAGAATTCCTGAAATAAGTACTAAAAAATGTAGTTTATTTTTTTATATGTAGACACTTAATGTCTATATACAGTTGTCTGAAATGAAGATAGTTATTTTAAATATCAAACTCCCTGAATACTTTCAGATATTTTCCACTTTTTCATTCAGATTAAAGTTTCTATTTCAAAATCTACTTATGACAAGATGAGACAAAAGAGAAAAGAGGAAAAAGAACTTTTTGACATTAAAGATTGTGAAAAGAAGGAACAGAATTCCTGGGAGCGAATGAAACATACAGGAACTGAGAAGATGACATCTGAAAGTAGGTGGAATTTAACTTTTGGTGTGTTATTTAACTGATACTATTCTAAAGCTAGTGTACCTGTGGTTTAACTGAGGGCTAATAATGGAATATGTTGAACCATAACATCGAAATTTGCAAGACCCAGTAGCTTTTTTATAATAAATATTAATTATTTCTCATAAAGAAGGAAGTTGATTGATTGTTTTTCTCCCTTCTAGACTTAAATATTTTTGGAGATGAGGTGGGAATATCAAAAAATGAGAGTTCCCCTTTAGAAAATATTGCCTTCAGCCCTCAATTGAAAGGAGGGACCTGTTTAAAAAGGTCACCACCATCTTTAGTGTTTTCAGATTCAGGTAAGTAACTTGTTTAAATGTAAAGAATAATGTCACAAATGCTGGTTAAGCTCAAGAGACCACATATGGTTCAGTGCATTTGTGATGAAAAGAGCACTAAGCTAGTAGGAGTCAGTAGACAGACCTGGCTTCATAATTATCAGGCCTGCCTTTTAATTAACTTTCTGACCTGCAAATAGGCCTCAGTTTTCTGCCCCTATAAATATCCAAATTATCTCAAAGGTCTCCTCCATGCTCCCTGCAAATATTCCTGTTTCACTAAGGAGTGCCCATTTTATAGCTGGGGTTAAATGAGACTGTGAAGTTGGTTTATATTAGATCATGATTTTAAAAAATCATTGTATTTATCACTTATTCAGCCTGCCATTCAGTACTTACTAGGTTCTATACCTGGCCAAGAGTGGCTTCCAGTTTCCTGTGCTGTTTTTAAAAATATTAAATAGGACTCAGGCCCCTAAGTGGGAGGTGGAACCCTCGCTGGGACAGTGTGGTCTCAGGATCCTCGGGGTCACAGGAAGACCAGGGCTGCCTGAGTGTGGCAGAGCTCCCATGTATCGGAGCAGGTAAGCCAACTGTAATCAGTGATCCCAGGAGTGGGCTTTCAGCTCGGGGTTTCCATAAACTGTGATTTGAGGCACAGTTGGGCCACTGCTCTTTGAGCAGGGGCCCAACAAGCAGCAGAACCAGGGAGAGCCCTCTTTTTTCCCCGGGAGGAGTGGCGTGAGAGCGTGCCCCAAGAGTCTGCTGGGTTTGGAGACTCCAAATGCGGCCGTGTGCCTTACATAGAAACACTTGGTCACAGGTTGGGTGAGCACGGAGTGCGGCTAGAGAGCTGGGAGACGAGTGATTGACTGCTTTTCTCTGAGGACTCACAGAGGAGTGGGGCCCCGAGCTTTTGGCTCCAGGGCTGGAGATTGGGAGGCCACCATTTTCATTCTCATCCTCAAAAGCTGTGCAGAAAGCCTTCAGGGAACAAAAGCCACATAGAGCAAACCAGAGCAGATTGCGTAGCCTGGCCCCAAGCAAGGATGGAGCAATTCCGCATGGAGAAGACCTTTGAGAATCAATGCAACAGGCCCCTCCCCCAGAAGATGCACAAGTCTGTGGAGTTTGGTGTGTGCAGAGAGGGAGACAGATTGACCTGGAGGATCTGTTGAGTGGGGTGGACTGTGACATTACTGCTCTAGGCCAGAGATTCCTGCAAAGCCATGTTTGCTCTGTCACTCTAAAGAGAAGTGGAAAGATGCCAAGGAACAAAAGTGGCTTAGCCAGCCAGCTCACATTAAGCCCATCTCCCTGACAAGGGGTGAGGCAACTCCACCCAGGCAAAGAGGCCTGAGAAGCCGAGCAGCAGGGCAACAGGCCCCTCTCCCAGAAGACAGACTGGAAAAACAGGGGAATAAGTTTAAGCTTATTTCCCATAGGACTCTAAAACTCCAGTGCCAGGAGAAAATAATTTGGGAGCTCAAGGTGTTCCACCACGACTCGCTGATACTTAGGGCTAAAATCTTAAATTTCTTTGTTAGTTTCTTTTCTTATTTTTTTTTTTAACCCTGCTCCCGTTACAAATATATTTGTATTTCCCAGCCTATGTTTTTAAGTCGTTTCTTAACTTTTATTTTCTTTTTCACATATATGTTTTATAGATTTATACCCCATTATAGCCTGTTTTTCACTCTCTTCAATTTTATCTTGCTATATATATGTAAGTTCTGATTTCTTTGCAATTTTGGGATATAGTTTCTTCTAACACAGAGACCAAAAATCAAGCATGAACAAGCAGAACACCCTCTGTGTCCACTCTGAGAGATTATAATCTCTCTCCCTGCCCTCCCCCCTCCTTTTTTTTTTTTCCTTTTTTCTTTCTTTTTTAATGTTTTGGATCATCTTGGCTTTGATGGAGTATCTGTAGTAGCTTTCAACCACTTTGGATTTTTTCGTAGATACATTTTGCTTGGGTTGTGGTTGATATTTTGGACTCGGTACATTCCCTCACCCATTCCTCAACAGAATGACTAGGAGGAGGAACTCCCAACAAAGGAAAGAACCAGAGACAATATCCTCTGCCACAGATCTAATGGATATGGATATAAGCAAGATGTCAGAGAAAGACTTCAGGGTAGCACTTATGAAATCAATAGCTAGGCTTGAGAAAAGCATTAGCAACAATATAGACTCTCTAAGGGCAGAAATGAGATCTAATCAGGCTGAACTTAAAAATGCTTTGAATGCAATGCAGTCTAAACTGGAAACTCTAACAGCCAGGGTATATGAGGCAGAAGAATGAATTAATGATCTAGAAGATAAGCTGATAGAAAGGAAGGAAGCTGAGGAGGATAGGGATAGGCATCTAGAAGCCCATGAGAACAGACTTAGATCAATGACACCATGAAACGTTCCAATGTCAGAATTATTGGGATTCCTGAGGGGGTGGAGAGAGAGGGAGGACTAGAAGGTATATTTGAGCATATCACAGCTGAGAACTTCCCTAATCTGGGAAAGGAAACCAGCATTCGTGTCCAAGAGGCAGAGAGGACCCCTCCCAAGATCAATAAAAATAGACCAACACTCTGGCATATACTAGTGAAACTTGCAAATCTTAGAGCCAAAGAAGCTATCCTGAGAGCAGCTAGGGGGAAGAGATTTCTTACGTACAGAGGTAGGGAAATCAGAATAACATCAGACCTATCCACAGAGACCTGGCAAGCCAGAAAGGCCTGGCAAGACATTTTCAGGGTACTAAATGAGAAGAACATTCAGCCAAGAATACTTTATCCAGCAAGGCTGTCATTCAGAACAGATGGAAAGATAAAGAGCTTCCAGGACTGGCAGAAAGGGAAAGAATATGTGACTACCAAGCCAGCCCTGCAAGAAATAATTAAGGGGAATTCTATAAAAGAAGAAAGACCCCAAGAGTAATATAGACCAGAAACTTACAGAGACAATCTATACAAACAGAGACTTTATGGGCAATATGATGGCATTAAATTCATATCTTTCAATAGTTACTCTCAGTGTGAATGACCTCAGTGCTCCCATGAAAAGGCATAGGGTTTCAGATTGGATAAAAAGACAGGACCCATCCACATGCTGTCTACAAGAGACTCATTTTGGACCTAAAGACACCTCCAGATTGAAAGTGAGGGGATGGAGAACCATTTATCATGCCAATGGACCTCAAAGGAAAGCTGGGGTAACAATTCTCATATCAGACAAACGAGATTTTAAACCAAAAACTGTAGTAAGAGATGTAGAGGGATGCTGTATCATACTTAAAGGGTCTATCCAACAAGAAAATCTAACAATTGTAAATATCTATATCCCTAACATGGGAGCAGCCAACTACATAAACCAACTATTAACCAAAATAAAGAATCGTATTGATAATAATACATTAATAGTAGGAGACCTTAACACTCCACTCTCAGCAATGGACAGATCATCTAAGCAGAAGATAAACAAAGAAATGAGCTTTGAATGACACATTGGACCAGATGGACTTCATAGATATATATAGAACATTCCACCCTAAAACAACAGAATACTCATTCTTCTCAAGTGCACATGGAACATTTTCCAGAATAGACCACATACTGCATCACAAATCAGGTCTCAACCCATATCAAAAGACTGAGATTATTCCCTGCATGTTATCAGACCACAGTGCTTTGAAACTGGAACTCAATCACAAGAAAAAAATTGGAAGGAATTCAAACACTTGGAAGTTAAAGAGCATACTGCTAAATAATGATTGGGTCAACCAGGAAATTAAGAATTTTAAAACTTCGTGGACACAAATGAAAATGAAAACACATCGGTCCAAAACCTATGGGATACTGCAAAGTCTGTCCTAAGGGGGAAATACATAGCCATCCAAGCCGCTCTCAAACAAGTAGAAAAATCCCAAATGCACAAGCCAACCTTACACCTAAAGGAGTTGGAGAAAGAACAGCAAATAAAACCTAAACCAAGCAGAAGAGAAGTAATAAAGGTTAGAGCAGAAGTCAATGAAATAGAAACCAAAAGAACAGTAGAACAGATCAATGAAACTAGAAGCTGGTTCTTTGAAAGAATTAATAAGATCGATAAACCTCTGGCCAGACTTATCCAAAAGAAAAGGGAAAGGACCCAGATCAATAAAATCATGAATGGAAGGGAAGAGATCATGACTAACACTGAGGAAATAGAACAATTACTAGAAATTATTACCAGCAACTATATGCCAACAAATTAAGGAACCTGGAAGAAATGGATGCCTTCCTGGAAACTTATAAACTACCAAGACTGAAACAGGAAGAAAGAGACAATCTGAATAGACCAATAACCAGTAATGAAATTGAAGCAGTAATCAAAAACCTCCCCAAAAAACAAGAGTCTGGGGCCAGATGGCTTCCCAGAGGAATTCTACCAAACATATAAAGAAGAAATCATACCTATTCTACTGAAGCAGTTCCAAAAAAATAGAAATGGAAGGAAAAGTTCCAAACTCGTTCTATGAGGCCAGCGTTACCCTGATCCCAAAACCAGACAAAGACCCCACCAAAAAGAAGAATTACAGACCAATATCCCTGATGAGCATGGATGCCAAAATACTCAACAAGATCCTAGCCAATAGGATCCAACAGTACGTTAAGAGGATTATCCACATGACCAGGTGGGGTTTATTCCTGGGATACAAGGGTGGTTCAACATTGGCAAATCAATGTGATACACTACATAAATAAAAGAAAGGACAAGAACCGTATAATCCTCAATAGTCCCAGAAAAATCACTTGACAAAATACAGCATCCTTTCCTGATTAAAACTCTTCAGAATAGGGCGCCTGGGTGGCTCAGTTGGTTAAGCGACTGCCTTCGGCTCAGGTCATGATCCTGGAGTCCCTGGATCGAGTCCCACATCGGGCTCCCAGCTCGGCAGGGAGTCTGCTTCTCCCTCTGACCCTCCCCCCTTTCATGTGCTCTCTCTCA